TTTTAGCAGGGCTTATAGTTTTAAATCGAGACCTCTAATTTCCAGCTTCAGCCATTTCCAGCTTCAGCCACGACAATTATTAAGATAATAAATAAGTAAATGGCCTATTATTTTATTATAATAAAATTCATTAAAGATCAGTTCCTGTATTAAACTATCAAAATGTAATAGTAAGTATAAAGTTAATTATAAATAATTAACCTTTTTTATTGTTAACAAAATGCTTATTACTTTTTATTTATTATTATTAATAAATTTATTTATATGCTTATATATTAACTACTAGTTTGTAAATACAGAGTTCGCTTATAAAAAAATCAATTCTTTTAATAAATATTAATCTTTTTTTATATACTATAAAAAATTATATTTTTATTATTATGTAGAAATCAAATCTGCGAATATAGTTAGTATCAACTATATATAATATTAAAGATATATGTTATTATATTAGCCTAACTTAATATACATATCACTTTATACAAATTAACTTTACAATAACGATACTAGTTTAGATATTGATAAACAAAGCTATCTTTATAGTTAAGCACAGATCTTTAATAATCAAAAATTAGATTGTTTTTATAACTCAGTATATAATACTTATACTTCTCTGTTTGACAGATTAATATTAAGAACTTTTATTTATACTAATGGGTTTATTTAAGAACCTGTTATTAGCTTACCAAGTTAGTCTAAAGTGTAAATAAAATATATAAATAATTAAATTTGAAAGAATTATCACTACTATTAAATTATACCCAATGTGTCAAATCATAAAAACAAATCTCTTGACTCAAGTATTAATCCATTTTCTATTGCAGCTCAATTAAAAGCTTTAGCTAATAATGTTAATGATGAATCTTCTACAACTTCAGAAGAGAAAAAAAATCCTCACCAACTTAAAGTACCACGATTGGCCAAGGAATCATTAAACTAGAATTCAAGTTAGGCCAAAATATATCTTTGGGTTTATTATAGAGAAAAACTATTAAACAAATATATGTTTTGTCTTTGTTGCAAAGAAGCTGGTAAAAATAATAATTTTACAAAGGGTGTGAATTTTTTAAAAAGCAAAGTTTGGATCATCATATTATTACTAGTAATCATCAAATAGTCTGTATTGCTCGAATGCAATCTCAAGTTACTTTATATTCTAGTTTTGCTATTCAAGCAAGAACTGATCAAATTAAAATAATGAGAAATATGCGCAATATATATTTCTTAATTTAGCATAATTTATCTACTAATATATTTGAGAGTTTATATAAATTATCTGAAATTCAACATGTTAAAAATCAAAGTCAATTTGAGTGTAGTGTAGATATTTTAAATATATTTGATAATGATTTTCCTATTGATAATGAAAAAGTACCATATAGTAATTATCAAAATAATATCGCAGCTCGTGAATTTATTAAGTCAATTGGCCATGTTATAGAACAAGAGGTTTTTTAAGAATTGTAAAATTCTGATGAGTAGAGTATAATGCTTGATGAAAGCAATACTATTTAACTAAAAAAGTTTTGGCAATTGTCTTTAAATACTTAATTGAACTAGCAAAACTACTTTATCGATTTCTTGGATTGATTTCTTTAACAAATAGTACCGCAAATACATATAGCAAAAATTGATCGATTTATTAAAGCTAAAAATATATCATATAGTAAATTAATACATATTTGTACTGATGGCACTAGTACAATAACAGGTAATTTATTAAATTATTTATATAATTATATAAAATTTATTATTTATTTTTTATAATTATTATAAGTATTCACACTAGAGTAACAACTCAATTAAAAAATAAGAACCCTTTTATTTTGGAACACCATTGTATTTCTCATAAATTGGCATTAGCCCAAAAGATACTGCAAAGCAAGTTGAAGAATTTAAATCATATAAGAAAATTGTACATAGTATTTATAGTTATTTTTCACAAAGTGTAGAGCAAATGATACATCTTAAAATGATAGAAGAAATATTAGTGATCCTCAACTTATAGTTTTAAATATTATTGAAACTCATTGGTTGTTATTATCTAATGTAATTCAAAATTTGCACCAAATTTTAAACTCTATAATTGATATATTATATAAAGATTCAGATGAAAATATAATTGCGCAAGCTTTATATAATAGTATTGACAGAGACTTTATTATAACAACCAAATTTTTTGCAGATATTCTTGGAATTTTAAGGTAAATGAATCTTCTTTTTCAAAAAAATAATATTACAATTCGTGAAGTAAAAACTCAGCTTGATATTATTATTTATACTATTCAAGTACAGTTTTTTGATATTGATATAGTTGAGCCAACTTGGGGAATTTATTTATGCAGATATATAACTGATAATGAAATTAGCACAACAGAATTCCTGCTATTATAACAAAATTTGCACATGCTACAATTAAGTTATTAGAAAAAAGATTTCCAAATCGAACTCAAATTAATGTATTTCATATTTTTAATCCAATGGCTTTGCTTGCTAATAATTTAAATTTACAAAAATATAGCAAAGATGAGATTGAAATTTTAAGCAATTTTTATGGTCAAGATAAATTCATATCAGAAGTTTTATTTCCTGCAAAATTGAATCCTGAAAATTTAAAATATGAGTGGTTATCAGTTAGATATCTTTTAACTAATTATAAAAATTTAGGTTTTTTAGAAGCTTAGAAATGTATATATTTTGATCTTTCTAATTTTAATAAATTTATCCTGAAACTGCAAAGTAATTTCTATTTTAATAAATTTTCCTTAAACTAATGCAGTAGTTGAGCAAATTTTTTTTAGACAAAATTTAATCAAAACAAAACTTCAAAATCATATGAGTATTTTTATACTTAATTACCTTCTTCTTATTTCATTTAATAAACCTAAATTAGAAAATTTTAATTTTCAACGGGTG